GCGACAATAAATACCGAGATAGCGTTAACGAAGAATAGACGAAGTCAAGAATATAAATAGCTTTTAATGTAAAATTTTATACCGAGTCGAGAGAAGTTTTACGCGGTGTTTCTCACTTTAATGGCTCGTTATCTCAGCTAGTTAGTTTCGCTGGTACTTTAATCTTCTACATATATGTTGGCACAATGTTGTCTTTTTAAGTTCTACTTTGAGCGTAATTGTATCGAGGTGAGATCTGTGGGAACATTTTCGAACTACTTTGCAATCTTCTGCCATCGCTTAGCATAAATGTATCGAGAAAATTATGAATTTTATGGGAAGAATATGTAACGCGTCTTTTAATCTTACACGCTGCTACGTCGATTATAGCCCAGTATGTTACTGCCTAGCGCGACCATGTTGAGGAAATGATAAATTCTGTGGAAGAATTTTGTAAGGTATTTTTCGATTTAAAAGTTTGCTGTGTCAGATAGAATCTTGCTTCACTGGTACTTCAATCTTCCTCTGCCGTCATAATATTTTCTTTCTCACCGTGTAATGGTGGCATACTTATATCTGAAACGCGATAAGTTCCACGAGAAAAATTCTGTAAAATGTTTTCCATCGGAACAGTTTGTCGACCGAAATATCTCGTCGAATTTATTTATTCCTTCGCAATTTTATCATCGAATATTACCTCTCATTTTTAATCAATAATCAAATTTTCGCACGATTGCCAATCAACGAATCAAATTCAATTTTAAATGTCTACCTGTAAATGAAATTGATATCTGACGGAATTTTTAACGGACCTCTGCTAGAAAAGTGAAACGCGAGTTTATATCGAGAATTCGTAGACATCTAGATTCCTAGATTCGTGAATCGGTGCGGCAACGAAGGAATGTCTAGTATTTAACCCTTAAATGCATGATTTTCTAATTTTACCAAAAGTTATCAACTAACAAAATACCTTGAAAGCGGTTGATTCAAATTAAAACGAACAGATGACGCTATTGTGTATTTAATTGGTACGTGGCATATCTGCAACGCTACTCATTGCAGGTTTCCTACATTTTGTATATAATTTATAAGATTAAAACTGGTATGTTGCATTTATACAACTATATGCATTTAAGGGTTAAAATCAGATATACTCGTATCCATCGCAGCCTCGATCTCCTACGTCTTCATGAAATTCTATCCCGGAAAGCAGCCTGGTCCAGTATCCGTAATCACCCTAGGCACCTTATCACCCTTATCCCTTTTCCCCTAAAGCTCGTTATCGTTTCTTAAAGGCAGGGGTGCCGAGCTAACGTATAAATCTATTTATCTGCGACAAGCTCGAAAGACGCGGCTTCGAACGTTCATTACGTATTCACGATAAAATACGCGTAGGCAAGGGAAAGACGCGTCATAGTTTAGCGAAGCTAAACACACGGTAGTTCATCGGGGTAAATAATAGTCGGTAAAGTTTGTAAGACGTTATAACAGGTACTGGATTGGCCCCCAAGGAATATTTCGATGGAATTTCACCTGTATTCGTGCGTATTCTTGCTAAAATGTTCTTCGTCTCTCTTCGTACGCCATCGTCGACGAATTTCCTTAATTACCAGAGGGAAATTATCGTGTCTGGAACCGTTCCAAAACTCTGTCTCATTTATCCTCGAATATTAAGTTTCCCCGGTACAGAGACGCTTATTTCCATACTTCTTTCCTCGCGAGACTCTTTAAAACTCGTCAGATCGTTTCGGATGTCAATTTGTTCGACTAATTTTTAGCTCTCCCGATTATCTTGCTCGAGCATCGGCGTTACACTTTTGCAGTCTTTTATCGGACGAGCTTAAGAATTCGAGGGAAAATCGCGCTATTCCGGGAGGTTTAATCCAACTTGATTTACGACAAAGGAAATAAAATTCGTTTCCATTCCATTTAACATCGGCAACGGTACCCATTAACACTGGATCTTGAAAGTTAATTGGTTTTTAACCACATTTCCGCGCAACGCTGGTCTAGTTCGCTCCCGTATGTTATTTTCCTTATATCCGGCCCCGTCTCGTTAATGGCTAAGCAAACGAATAAATAAACGATCCTGCATACCAACCGACACACGAGCAAAACACCGACCACTGCTTCGGCTCTGTATCTAGGCTATCTTTTTATATAAAATGCATTACAAAATTCTTTCCGTAATCTCACCGTTTCCTATGCTAACAAAAACAATCCACAAGTACACGGTTTTATTAGCGTGTACAGGCAATTACTGCCGAGATAATCACAGCATTGCCTCGATTTGGATCACAAAGCTGTTCCGAAGTACTATAATCCAAGTTCGGACGCGTGTCGATATTCGTGTCGAGACACGATATCGCTTCGATTCGAATCGGAGACACAGCTTAGAGTTCGTAGTTCGGGTCCTAGATGTGTCTCGACATCCGTCACTTTGAGCTATGATATTACTTTGCTCCGGGTCGGACGACGAATCCGGCTATCATTCGTCGCTCCGTTCAAATTTTGACATATAAGGATTTAGGGACGCAGAAATAACCGGGCACAGGGATCCAGAGTGGTATATGAATTTAGGTGAATCTGGGCATATTGCGATGCGGAAATGTGGGAATAGAGGTATCTAGGGATCTGGGGACATAATGTACAGAGTATGAAAACTTTTCCATGTGGAATAATATAATGTAGCAATCTCCGACATGGGGATTTAAGAATATAGGAATCTAGAAATATGTGGGTGCAAAGTATTGAGACAGAGAAACACGAGGATATAGGAACGCAGTTTTGGTATATGGTGTAATACGGTGTAGGAATCCCAAGAATTCGAGTGTATGCAGATGTAGGTAATTCCGTGCGTTGTAATTCGTCACGTGGTATCGCCACGAGTTGTACCGCGTGCACATATTGTTACACATTCAATTCACACGAGCTATATTGCGACCCATTGTACACCGACCAGCAATGTCGCGACGTACCAGCTATTATATCGCCACGGGTGATATCCAGAACATGTAATCTATAATACAGACGCTTTCTATTAACTAGTTTATCGAATGCCACCGCGTCTGCTCGCATGATCCAGATACCGAAGCCATGTTCGATACTCCGAAGTTCACTTCGTTTAAACGTTAAAACGCGGCATAAGCTATCGTACGTTTTCTAAACTGGATCGTAAGAAATTGCTAGGGAGCAATTTTCGAAGCGACCCGATATCCTTTAGATCCAACGCGAGGCATCTAAGCAGTCACTGGTCGAGTCGTAATCTCGCCAAGTGTTCGAAACAACGGTCGTAGGAATAATCAACCGTTGGAAAAAATTAACGAGAGCTCAGTGTGCTGTATAAAAATACCCTCCTTTTTTAACCGAGACACCGGTTCGAGGGAAGAAAAGAACGGAAAATTATGCGCCGTGAAGCGCAACGAGCTTGAAAGGATTCGACGCGAATCCTCGGTTTAAGAAACGGGATATAAAGTAGAATTTTCATGTTTGCGGGAAAGAACTTGAGGATCTATAGAAGATCGTCGGTTTGTTACTCGGAACAGAATGCTGCTTTTCTATTGAAAATACTCTCCGCCAACGAATAAAAACGGCATTATTTAGGTCGTTAGAAAGGGAAGCGAAGTAGATGGAACAACAGTTTCGGAAGCTTTTACGAGATAAATCTACCCGTAGAAAGTTGAGTTAATAAAGATAACTAACGCGAGGCAAATATGAAAGTTTCCTTATCTAGATGGTTATTCGATTGTTCTCAACATTTTTGCATTTTAATCGCGCATCACGCGCAACCGTATAGCGGTAGATTACGTACAGTTACGCCACTCCGATTCAACGGTCGCGCGCTCTTACGTTTGACGAACATATTTTAATTAAAAATTTAGCATAAACGTGCCGATACCGGTAAGCGAAGAAAATGACAAGCCCCAAGAAAAATTGGAACACGCGTGCCCGATAAAATATAGAAAACGTTATAGTTTGGTCGTTGCTCGCGAAAGGAAAAATTCCGCGAGGAAGATCGGCGCGTCGTCCTGCGAGTATCGAAGATCTCGAACAAGAGGATCGGCTAATTCGATAAAAAGTAAAGATCGAAGGCAGACGGTGCGATACGGCGAGCATCCGTCGTCTTGGTGCATCGTTTCGTTGACATACGAAGGTTACCAGGAGTCCTTGTCGCTGAGGAATTCGAAGGGCCAGGTCGTCCTTGGGATTCTACTTGGTATCGGCGGCCGGTCCTCTCCAGATGGTGCACGAGGTCAAGCAAAAAGAACTCGGTCCACTGGTCCGGACCTACCACTCTTCGTCTCGCTTTTTCTTTTGCGCCGTGTTACACCTTCCCTCCTTCTTCGCCTACCCTTCCGTTTTTTCGTTTGTTTCTGCTGCCCGCGAAATCGCGTAATCCTCTTCTCTCTCCGCTATCATCGTTTCTTTCCTCCTCCTCCTCCTCTTTGCCGCGTTGCGAAATGGCAGGCTGACATTTAGACCGCTCTGTCGCCTCCCTGCAACTCCAGGAGAAACTGCAATGGGTTTACCTTACAGCCTGACTTCTTCGTTATTTTTTAGAATATAAATAATTCCGTTACAAGCGATATACATACACCTTGCATTTCTCGTTTGTTTATTGCCATGTTCCGCGAGGTCTGCTAGGAAATGGTTGGCTAAAACTGTTACAGCAGTGATTTATGTACCGAGATGGTCCTATTGTTATGTCGAGAATTTCTATTTTTACGTGAACATTCTGTAAGATCGTCTCAAAAATATTTAAATAGTTCCATTCTTTTCTTTCCGCATTGTCAAACAACGTTATATCTTGAAACATATAACAAAGTCCATAAAAAGAGTTATTATTAGACCAAAGAAATATCGGAAGTCGTACATTCGACCTCGAAGGCTAACTCGTTTGCGGTTGCGATGTTCGGACGAAATCTAGAAGATTAGCTCTGTGAAACGTAGAGACGCGACTGTTTAACGTATGCGAATGTTCGCAAAATGATTTAGCTGATGTATCGTTAACTCTGTTTCAGTTACCAGTGGGCGGGGGTGGTGCTGTGCTGGTGCTCAGCGAGCTTGAAAGCATGGCGGCCAGGCAGCAGCGGGAAATTGCCCAGCAAAGGCGCCTCCTGGAGCAGAGAGAGGCCCGTCTGGCCGTGCTTCGAGGCGCACAGGTGAGCCCGAACCCTATTCGACCGCCCTTTAACGCGGAAATCGTCCTGGAAATTGCTCGACAAAGCTCTAGCAGATATTACTGGAACTGGACTCTAGCTCGACTCTCGATGCGTTCCGCTTCCGCCCGACGATGAGCCCGGTTTCCGTTGCTTAATTAACCGACATATTTCCACACCCTCCGTGAATTATCCTTCTAACGTTATTTTAACGCGTTCGGTTGCCTCCCATCTACGAGAGAACAATTTTCGAAAATTTTCAATTCCATCGACGTTGTAATAACACCGTAACTTTCTCGGTACAGATGTTTCCATGTTCGCGGAAATAATTAAGAGAAGCGTAGAATCAACTCTATAGAAATGATCGTTTAACGTTATTTTGACCCACAACCGGATGACGAAGCAACTGCGCGACGCACCAGCTGCGTCGTGAACTTTTCAAACAGGTATCGAACATCGTACTTTATGTGTCAGTGACCAGGTGCGCGAAAAAGCGGTTGGCAAGATGCAACATTTGTGAGAAATCATTTTCAAATCGCGTCAGTAATTTTACGAAAAATATGAATTTCATTCGTCACGAAAACCATCGGTTTACCTTTTTCAATCAAGCTGTCCGATCGATCGAAACGAATACACAGAGACTCGTTTCGAGCCTCTATAGTTTACGTAGAGTCGCGCTTTCGATGGAAACGAACGATGACTCGAACACCGAAAACCGAACAAACGATTCCGGTTAATAGCCCTGTCGCTTTATCGGATAATCGTTCTCAGCTTCATCGATCGTTCACGCTTCCTGACACGAGGAATCAACCGACAGATGGATCTCTCGTTCAAGGTCAAGGTCACAACCAGCAAGGTCAGCCTAACGGTTACCGAACCAACTGGTCGTTTTCGTTTTTTTTTCATCTCGAAGACGTCGATTTTCACGCGTCACACGGAACATGGCCAGCGAATTGATCGTCGACCATTGGCGTAACTTGCATTCTTTCCTGCCGCGAACCTCTACCGATTCGTTTACCGATAGCGCGAGCACCGTGGATAATCGGGTAGCCCTTTGACATCCGGAGATTCAGGAACGTGGAAATTTTAAAATGGTAATATTCTTGCGTTTCTCGTAGCTCGAACACGATTCGAAGCAACACGGTGATCATTTTTGAATCGACGAGGCCCATCTTGTTGGTCCCTTTGGAGTTACGCCAATGTCAACGACGTAACATGCAATTCGAATCGCGAACACCTGTCGGCTTTTCGAGATTCTTTCCGCTCGTACTCTCGGGCTTTTCAGAGCTCTCGTGCACGCCAGTCTCTTTTGTGGCGGACGGTCGACTTCGACAAGACTAATAACCGCGACCGAACACGTAATTGCTAGTTATTTTTGCGCTCCGATCCCGATTTGCTCGAACGATAGAGATCCGAGGTGCAACGAACCCTCGATCACTGACCACCGCCCGGGCCATTATCCCCCGAGGAAGCCTCAGGATCGTGCGAAACACTTTATTACCGAAATCGTTACCAGGAATTCCTTTTTTCATTCAGACGTTTACTCGATGTACTTCCTTCAAATTGCTATGTAAATAGCACTTTTATCCGTGCGAAAAATCACCTGTTATTTCTAAGAGATATTCGAATCGGCGCGTCTAACGAAGTAGGATAGCAACTCGATAATTGGCACCCTAGGGTTAACTCGTTTCACGGAACTTTGCGAAATTTCGAGATTTATATATTTCGAAAGAGTATTCTAATAAAGAGCGTTCGCGACAGGCAGGAAATAGACGTCGAACGCGTACACTGCCGTTATAGTGTCATGAACCCCTGATTCTAATAACAGGTTACATAACTCGAGTTCAATCTCTTCCTCGATGTAATGGAAAATATAAAATTTGATCATCGGTTCGATAGGCGGTCGTGAAAACGTTAATAACATCGTCTCGGTAGCATCGTCGGCGATTCAAAATCCAGATCTATCGAACACGATTTTAATCAAGCCACCCACTTGATTCACTTAACCCGCATCGTTTTACGAGCTAGCTAAGCGTGTAACGCGCGAACTCGCCGGGCTCTTCGGAGAAGATGACGGGATCAGAGCGGAGAGACGACTTCCTGTCTCGTATGCTTACCTCTTAAGAGCGAAGCAGCTTCCTTCTTCAACGATATTAACGAGATTAAGCGCGACTACGAGCATGTTGTCTTCCTATCGACTAGCCAACGTGTCGCTCTAATCTTGTACCGGATGATACGATGCGCTGATCGCTTTAGAGCTTGATGCCTCGTTGGGTCCAGAAGAAAGGCTGTCAGTTAGCAAATTCTTGCTCGAACTTTCCATAGTAGACGCTGAGGAACTTCGAAACTCTTGATGAGCCATCGACCGCAACAGGAACTATGAATGTTTTCAAAACTATCGAGCGTTGCCACCTGTAACGCGCCAGATTTTTGCTTATTGTCATTTATATTGGGACCGGATTGTTTCTTCTAACAAAAAATATTGGTGTTCTGATAGCGCATAATGTTACATATTCTCTCATATCTATACAGCTATTATACTACACTCCATGAGCACAGTTCCCATAAAATCATATTCCCGACCGTGTAGCTCTTGCAAATAGTACCCGGTTCATCAGTCATTTCGACAAACATGAAATATAAAAAGCAGGAATATCGGGACACGCGTTACGCACAGAGGAAGCGAGCTTTTCATCGGCAAGCAGCTATTCAAAGCAACGCGAAAGAAGCTCGTAGTCGGGCCTCAAGCTGGATTTCCTAGGACTCGAAATCCTTGATCCTGCGGCGGTAGGAGCTCTCTATTTCTAGCTCGATACCGAAGATGGAAAGTTTTATTCGGTCATCGCTCGCGAAACGGATCTTCCGTTCGTTTCCCAATCGTTCACAGGATGTTCTATGAGCTGCAAAGACTTTTTAATCGTCGACAATGCGCATCGCGATAAAAAGGGTATTCTGGTGCTGGTTAATTTCGAGGGATTAAGGAACTGCGTGCCGAGGTAACTCGACTAAATTTCCTCTTCTTTCTCTTGTCGTCGTTAAGTGACTTCCAGCTAGGACGCCGTGGACTATTTTCACGCTACCTGAAGACAAGAGACGTAATTGTCAGACGTTGTTCTCGGTAGCTCCGGGTCTCAATTTGTTCCACGCTGCACGCGGTGTTTCTGGAACCTTGTTTCGTTGTTGACCCTGTTGCGAATAATCCTTTTATGTTGGTATCCGAAAGTGCGACTGTGACGCTCGTGACACGTTATTTTAAACAGAAAATGGGTGCGCGTCTTTGTAACCGTGAAATATTACGAATTGAAAGGATACAAGAATCTCTAACTAAGGATATAGGAGTCTGTTAGAAATCCAATTGCACAGACAGATTCGATGGAAAGTCTGTTCCGCGATCGATTTCCCATTCAGTTTCCCAATTCTCTTTCGCAAATTCGATAGCGTTAAGTTATTCGTGTCCCTAGCGTGATGGAGTAGCGGGACAAATAGGGTCGTTTTATTTGATCGCTCTTGAAATATTCTGCGCGTACTGTTTTGCTTGCTGTAGCGTACTCGGTCTGTTTGGCCCACGGGTGTTTCGCCGTATTCAGACTGTTGTATCTAGCGGCTACTGTTTACTGTTTCAGGAGCCAGCACAGCAGGAACAACTCGCCAGATTGAGGCACAGGCTGGACCAACAACAGAGCAAACTGAATCGGTTGCGGTTGCTCAGATCGCAGACCGACCAGTCGCGTGCCAACAACGCCACGTTGAGTAAGTCGATTAAAAATCCTCGTTAATGCTTCTGCTGCTAACTTTTCGATCGATCGATCCAAATCCACAGGACCAGATTATCCTCCGAAATCGGTTTGCCTTTCTACCAGATGTAGTTCGCGCAGTTACGACAATCTCGATGTTTGCTTCGGAAGTTTAAATTTCATTGCTGGAGAACGCGTTCGCTTATCAAATTAGTATGCGCATACATTGACCGTAACGCGTGCGCGAAATTATTCAGGACACAGACTCTCGTAACAATATCGGAGCGATAAAAATCAGCGAGATAAACCGTATTCTCTATCGTTAACAAGTATTCGATTAAATCCCGCGGGGAGTCACGATTAATCCACCACAAGAAATGAACCCAACCACCCTCGCTTCCACAATCCCCTCGGAACGAGGCAAGCCGTGTAAATTCCAGCGAAGCCATTCGTCGTAGACCGTGTCCCGTTCCAGCAGGGTTGCTCGTCTAACCCTCTAGAACGAACGACGATAAACTTGGTTAATCCAATTCACCGGGAGCATTCTGGTCCAGCCTGTTGTGTCGGCATATTGCGTTCGAAAGTGAAAGTTCGACGTTGGCGCGGTTCGAACGAACGGGAGACAGGGAAACAGCACGTACGAACATGAAGAAGAGATACGTTCGAGAAGTTCGCCACGGCGAAACGTAGAATTTTACGGATAAAATTCGCGTGGCGACTTAACGCCGTTCTACTCGTTCTATTTGCTCGCCCTACCAACCTTTACCGTTTTCAAATCCTCGGATTTGCGAGTTTCCACGTTTTCGAATCGCTGAATTTGAACACTCCGTGCACTACCAAACCCTCGAAATTCCCTGTTCGAACGCGAAAGATGTCGCGTATAAAGAATAGAAATTCTCGACTCGTATCGTTTTGTGACGAGCGCATACATGATCCAAGAATATCGATATCTGCATCGCGAACACGGACCGGAGCCTCTTCGATAACCGTAGAAGAGGCTTTGATTCCTCTCTGGCCGTGACTTTTTTGTGTGGCAAGTCCACAGCCAGGAAAGCGAATTCTCGTAATCTGCAGGAGGATCGAAGCGTCTCGTAAAAGGATATCGAACGACCACCACGCTTGTCGAGTATCGAATTCAATAAAGATTTGCGGACAAAATGGATCCCATCGAGGACGATGCATTTTCTTCGACGAAAGAGAAGATGCTGCTCTTCGTTTCGGATGATACATGCCCTGTACGTTTATGGTCACGATCCACGGATCCTTTTGTGTCGATCCTTTGAAAGCGAACCTCCAGGATCCGTGTAGAAATAACTCGGATAAGATTGCTCGCGTCTTTTGCTTGTTTTATGTTTCGGACACGTACGAGTGTACGTGTAACGTTTATGTAATACTAAAAAAAAAACTATTATTAAAGCAACGATGAAATACTATTCGTCTATTTCATTATTTCGTCCTTCCACTCTACTATGCAATTTACAGTTCGACGATTGTACTTCCGTCGCTAAAAGCCGAGAACGAATAGAATCTGAGATTGAAGTGGAACGGCACTGCATGTACTCGGTGATAGTACTCGTTCCGTTCGTACGCGCGAAGGAACTAGTCACAGGATGCGAAACGTTTGCATTCTTGAAGTTTAATTTCGTTTCGCTTCGCTCTCTCTCTCCCTTCGAAAACTTTATCGAAATTGTCGTCGAAAGGAAATTCGACTTTCCAGGAGTCTCGCGAGCACACTCGGAGCTCGTTATCCGTCGCGAAGAAATCGGGCTAATTCTCGACGTCTGTTCACGAATTCGACGACCATCGTTCTCTTCGTTATCCGATCCATTGTGTCTGACACTGATTTTCCAAGGGCGTGATTCTCCAGCCAGCGAGTTTAGCCAGAGAGTTTCGTGGTCGTAAGTCGAAGATTAGGCCGATGAAAAGCGCAATCGAGCGAGAAGCGAAGGGTGAAGCGAATGTCAGGACTTTCTGATCGCGTTTCTCGCCGAAAATACGCTCGATCTATTTCCCGTGGAATCGCGAAACTTGCTCGAACACGGGTGTCGAACTTTCCGATAGGGAGACTCTCCCGTTTGCCGAAATACCTTTTCCCGAAGAGCTTCCTTTCGCTCATACGCCACGGTCTCCTCGCTTCTTTGACACTTTCAACAATTTTCTTATTTTCTCGAAAACAAAGTTTCGAAGAAGAACCATCTTACCGTAATCATCGGAAAAGTGTATTCTTCGCTTAAAGATATTTTCCGAAGCTCGCGAGCGTAATTCTTGCAATCCTGACGGTTCCACGGTTTGTTTGAAAAAAAAAGGAAAGAAAAATCAGCGAATTAAACGAGCGAACGTATGGCTTCTGACGGAACGCGCTTTAATTAAAGGGAGCTTTTTCAGACGAGCTCGACGAACATTTCGTCGTGGAATTAAGTGTTAGGTAGCTTGGCTAAATTTCCTTTGCGCGTAAACGAAGATTTTTTTCCCTCCTTATTTTCAACCATGGAACGTTTTCCGAACTTTTGTACGCTTTTATGTCCCTTCCGCGAAAATTTCAAGTAGATGCACTGTCCCTCTGATGGCTCGGCAATCTTAATTAATTTCTTTTTCTCGAATTCCTGCAGGCGAAAGAAACTTTCCAGCTTCGCAAACTCTCCAATCTTTTTTCTGCTCCAACTTTCGAGGACTTCCTTCAACCGAAAGCGTAAGATGCTTGTATCACAAACGCTTTATTACGAAATTTTTTTCAAATTTAACCGGATACAGACTATTTCGACACCGCTTAAATTTCGACAAGGTTTATCGCGAGCTGCATGCGGCTCTTTGAAGGATTACTTGTGGCTCCCGATAAATGTACCCAAGTTCCCTTTCCATTTTTGTGCTATTATATTTTAAAAAATTATTATCGTTCCGTATGTATTTCAAAATGTCTTTGAAATTACTGACGACAAATATGAAAGACTAAGTGCAACGTTGTAACAAATTTCCAAGTTATGAATGATATGACTCATCGAAAACTGCGGCTCGCGAAACATTTCAAATTTTGAAAAATGGCTTGGACTATCAAGGAGCTTGGCCACCCCTGGTCTATATGGAGGAAAAGTCAAAATAATTTGGAGCATTATGACGAATAAATTGAAAATTATAAAAGGATTTGCGTATATATAACCATCTTTGTGTAAATAAATTCGGTTCGAATAGTCGATGGAAGCTAACGAAAAAGATGACCGCTGCGATCCTCTTCGCGTTTGACACGCAAATGATTTCTCGTAATACCGTAATAACGATAGCCCCGACGATAATCCTCTTTGCGCGCTGGAATCAAAAGAGACGTTAATCGCTTTGCCCGCTCGATACAGCGCGTTAATTGATAGGTCATTCGTCGAATTCGAGGCTTGATTGCTTGAAAACAACCGTTTAACCAGTGTCGAGATCGATTCGATACATATTGATGATACAGTAGAGTGTCGTTATATCGCCATTGTAAATAATTTGCGAATCAAGGTTTTCGTGTAGTGGCTTCGTAATAACAGTTTTCAAATCCGACCTTATCTAGCTTATAGGCGGATTTGCCGAGTGGTATAAACGATCGGATGTACAACCGGTGGCTACCGAAAGGTGGATATGGAAATTTTAAGTACTCGATATCAATTTCCAATATGAATACCTATTAGAACGACACCAATCAATATCAATCCCATGTTAACCGAGTAGATTGAATTTAATCATAGATCCGGGTTACAATTGACCCGATTTCCCTGTCGAAGGTTTAATCTTCTGCAAGGAGAAACTGGACGTAATTTGCGAAATTAACGAAAAACTCGATAGAAAGCGACGATGAAAATAATTAAAGCGCTAAATAACTAAAACCGCGATAGAACGGAGATTTTTCTCGAGAGACGATGAACGCTAGTAAATCACGCTCGACTCGATTCGCTAGTTTCCAGATTGTTAACTGCGACCTTTCCTTTCGATATTTAAATTTTAATACAATCGTTTCATGATTCTCGTTTCTGAAAAGTTACCGTGAAATCTAACGGAATCTCCTCGGATTTAACTCGTTCTCCGGATTCTGTTCGAAAGCTCACCTTTTCAGAGGATTAAATATTCGTTTTTATTTCATCATTATCTCTGGAGAGCGAACGGACGAATTTTTCTCGTGAATCGAAAACGGAATATTTATTGCGCCTAATTGTTTGGTCGGTTGCTGCTTCGTTAATTAAAAGTTGCTCCCTTAGACGAAGTAAGGCGAGATTTTTGTAAGGGGAAAACCTTGAAGCATCGGCATGGAGATCCTTTAAATTATTAAGCGAGAAGTGGATACGGAAAAGAGGATATAGAGGCCTTGATCCAATTTCAAGCGATACGGATATAAATTTGCACGCGAACGGTATCGCGTATGTACGGTAAATCAATAATGACGATTAGAGGATCTTTAACCCTTGTATCGTATTTAGCGTTCACAAAAGCTAGCTCGTTCCAATTATTAGATAAGCCGGTTAACGAAGGGATTCGCGTCTTATATTACGTGGCTCCGTTTTGGCATAAGAAACGCGATTAATTCAACGACATCTCGTTACGGTATATCGCAACCGTATTACGATACAAAGACCGTGATCAGATCGTGCAGGTTTCGATACCGTAGACTAAGGGTCGAATTAGAATATTGTCCCTCCTTCGAACTATAAATTCAAGTTTTATCCTTGCCACGCTCCTTTTTTCGACGTCGAAAAAGTTTGATCGTTGAAGAAGAAACCGTTCCGTTTGTTCCTCGGTTCAGATAACACGAACACGCAAAAGAAAAATCTTTTTCCACCCAATATTCTCTTAATTAACAACGCAAACGCTCCTCTTAATTGCGCGAGTCTAACGAGGGAATCTTGTATTTTTAGTATCCGTATTCCCAGGAAAGAAGGAGAAAGATATCTCGATCGTCGATTGCTCGTTCTTCGCCAATTAACGGATTACGCGGATTACGTTAGACGTCAGCATCGCAATTATTCAACCTGTCGAATGCAAATTTCCTCTTTA